CACTTGGGGTAAGGTTGATATGCACTCGGGATGAACATTAGTTTTGTTGTGTAAATCGCGAAATTCTGAATGAAGCCCATCGCAAGAACCAATGAATAAATTTGCTGTGGTCAAAACGTCCTTTCGACAGACGTCCTGTCAGAACGCGAGGAGACCACTTCACAAAGACACCAGCAGTGAAGATGGAAGCTCGGTATCTTTTCGCCTACGTTGTAGCGCTTGCTACAGTCTGTACGATCTGTACGGGTTACACCAAGTCCAAGGACGATTTTCTAAACCAAACAGACCAGCGCGGCTGCAACAGGTGCTGCCGGGGCTTCCCTGGAGCGGCCGGACAGCCAGGCATCCACGGGCGGGACGGCGTCCCCGGCCGCCCAGGGGTGGTGGGGAAGATCGGTAAACCCCGGGAAGCGGGGAGACCGCGGGTTCTCTGGCAAGCCGGGCCCTGCGGGACCGGAGGGACTGCGCGGACCACCGGGTCTGCCCGGGGGGAAGGGCGAGCGCGGCCCGCCCGGATCCCTAATGCAGCCGCAGAAGATAGGGTTTTCGGCAGCGCGGATGTCGGACTTGGGAGACGCCAACAAACCCGTGGTCCTCACCTACGAACACGTCTTCGTCAACCAGGGCGGATTCTTCAACAACAACACTGGCCAGGTGAGGCTTCTTGTAGTGATAACAACAGATATGAGACATTATAGCCTAGATTATAGACATATAATGTCTCATCATCCGTTGTTATCGCCGACCAGCGACAAGAGAGCTCTAGAGCCGGAGGATGGTACTCAGGCTATAAAGAGACAGGGGGCTTTTAAATTGATTTCACTGGTCAGGGAGGGGTGTGTTATTGGTCAGGGAGGGGTGTGTTCTTCAACATCGACAAAATTATATGGTCTTTGTATGTTCCTAAGATATGAAGCGCTTCCTAAGATGAAGCGGTTAGACTTGCTGTATAACTAATATGCATGCTTTGTACGTATAGGACAATAATCTGAAAAGCACATTCTAGTCCCATATTGCGTAGTCTTTTGTAAGATAGTATAACACTCATAGCATAGTATGTACCATTTGCATCAACTTGCAGAGGGTGTGTATCAGTATTAAGTTGTGTCAAGTGTGTCCAGAAACTTTCTTCCATAGCTTGTCTGTTGATACCGGTAAACTGACTCAGAGATTCTATAGAAAATGTAAAACTGAATACTGTCTGGAACAATACCTAGAACACTGTGACTTCGAGCAGCGCTCCGCTATTAGTAAAATTAGAATTAGTGCCCACCCCCTGGAAATTGAAAAAGGGCGATATATGAAACTACCTGTGTCGGAGAGAATTTGTAAATATTGCTCCTCAAATGCAGTGGAAGACGAAATTCATTTCATCTCTAACTGTCCATTTTATGACGACATCAGAAAACAATTATTTAGCACCGTGTCCAAAATGCTCCCTTACTTCCCCACCGTTCCCTACCACAAAAAAACATTTTTACTACTAAAATCAAAGAACCCACATATTATAGAAGAAGTGGGTAAATTCGTCTTCCACTGCCTAAAAAGAAGAAGTCAAACCCAGTAAATCTAGTACCATGCATGTTGTAGATTATAGTATAAGGCTAGACGTAGATATAGTCCCACATACCACTGTATTTTCTTTCTTATGTTGTTTGTAACTGCAATTAGCCCTCGGGCATGTATTTGCAATAAACTTTCTCTTAACGTTGTTGTGAGCAGTAGATGACGTACGTTGTACCTTGTATTGTACAGTAAAGTTTATAATGTGTCTCCACCACCCCACAGTTCCTGTGCGCCGTCTCGGGCACGTATTTCTTCACGTTCCACATCTACAAGCGGTCGGGGCAGTACGAGACGTTCGTCCGCCTGGTGCACAACTTCCTGCCGGTGGTGGCGGTGCACGAGGGCGACAACGACGATCGCTACGACGGCGTCAGCAACAGCGTCCTCTTGCGGCTGCAGCGGGGTGACAGGGTGTGGCTGGAGATGCCGGCCGGATTCTTCCTCTACAGCAACGCGTTGGACAAACTCACCAGCTTCTCAGGCTTCCTGGTATTCGCTGATTAGAGAGCTACACATATGTACGTGCATATAGGCCCCATTCCCACTAGGATAAAATTGTACGGATCGAGCCGAATTGATTCGCATTGCCAAATCCGGCTTCGAGCCGCTTCGAGCCGGATCGAAGCCTGATCAAAGCGAATCAATGTCGATCGGGACAATTTTTATCCCAGTAAAAGCGGAATGGGGCCACAGTTATAGACAATTCAAATTACTGTATAAAATACAGGGATTATGTTTGGAGTGACATCCTCTTCGTTGAAGATGAGTGATGGATGTCATTCGGAACATCCTGAAGCAATCTTCGTATTTTATCCAGTAGTAGAGTTTGAATTGTACATGTATATGGGTATTGTTTTCTTGGATGTCTAACCTTCATCAACGTACGTACATATAGTGATAATATATTAAAAACTATCGACGCAAACAATTGACTACTCAATGTTCAAGAATACCATTACGTGATGATGGACATCTTAACTGTAAATTTATCATACTAGTATTTATTCTTATTCTAGTTATGCCGTGACTGTACAAGATTTGGGTACCATAGGTCAATAATGTCAATGTGTTTGTATAGGAAATAGATTTTGCTGATCAGAATGGGCTGGAAGGAGAAAAATGTGACGACTACGAAATACGCAATTATAGCACTGTACAAACCTTACGGCCTTAGTCCCACACGGGGAGTCGGACACTGCTTATCCGTGTTGTTAATTGTTGAAGCAGCATAAGATAAAACAACCCTACTGTATACGTATGTAATAAAGCTAAATGTTAATTATAACCGTTCTTTTCTTCCATTTGTATTCACTGATAAGGCGTCCATTCTATCAATCTCTAAACAGTTATTCTGTTTCCTAGTGTATGTGCTTTATGTGGACGTTTTCTTCACATACCACCGAATCACCAGAAATGATAATGACATTGGCCTTTGGGCTAATGTGTATAATTGAAGGTAGCCGCATTCTGTATCCAGAGTAGGCATAAGTACATTGCATATTGTTTATGGGACACAACCAACAGTGCACCCACCCGTCATTTTACTCCATGGTAATCCTTGTTTGCTTTTTACTGAAATTTCAATCGCATACACAGGATGTGTTTTTTTTCTAGAGTATGTGACAATGTGGTCTGGCATACAGTAACATGCAATCATCTATAGATGTGAACACTACAAGACTCTTGGAATGAAGACAGATACGCTTTGCATTGAGATCCACGGACCACTTTAATAGGCATTTTGCTCTTTCTCTGTTGCAATAACAAAACCAAGCAGCTATTACTTAGCAGGAAGGAATGGGTATCAGCAATTTACTCGGAGTATTTCGTCTCTAATTACCACAAATGAGAGTTAAAAGATAGTACAGGGAACATCAGAACACTTTCACTTCCTCCTCATTCCTATATCAATGTACAAATATTTATCACAAATCATAATAGAACATCTGTCAGCTCGTGGCCAACATACAAGTTTCTGTGATATGTCATGAAAACGTTACAACTAATCTTTCAAGATGTCTGACATGGGGGAACATGTAGAGTTTGGATGTTCCCCTGGTCTGACATTCGGTATCTTAGGAAAGCCTCTTAAGGAGCACCGCCGAAGGGGTTGATGTGGTCCCTCTCTCCTTCCTCTGCGGCGTCGTACAGCAACTTGGGGACGTAGAAGGTCCAGAGGGCCGTCTTCTTCGCCTTAAAGAAGTTGTCGGTGTCGGTTTTCTTGACGCTGCGGATCTCCAGGTACTCCTGGTTGTCTCCCTGGTACTGCGGCCACTTCACCTCGGCAGCCTGGTCAGGGGTCGGCTCCCTGGGGGGGTACAAAGGGTACAGGTAAATTAAGGTACTCTCCAAGCAGAGGTTTGGGTTTGGCTTATTTTTGGCGTGTTTTTAGGCTTTTTTATTTGGGTTTCTTTTCTGCACTATAATTTTTTAGCCCCCCCCCCCAAAAAAAAAACATTTGGATGACTGGTCTCTGTATAGATGACTGAAAGTCTGGCAATTCAACCTTTGCAAAAACTTGAGTGTGTCCTCACCACGTCTTGTGATTACATGTTGGAATATATAAAAAGAAATAATAATGATAATAATAATGTGTCATTGCTCACCCGGTGCGCGCGAAGCTGGACACGAAGTGGACCATCATGTCGTGCACGCCCTCGTCGGTCTCGTCGAACTCATACCTGTCCTCGGCGTCTATCAGCTTCGGCCCGAACAAGAACACCTGGTCGTCCGCTTTGTGCGCTCCTAGGGGCAGAATCATCCAGGGTTAACGGTTGGCAGATTTAAATAATCTAAAAACAGTATTGAGAGGTTACTCCACACACCCACGTGGGTCGTCTGAGTTTTGGTTCTGGTCTAGATAGGGTCGATTACCCACCCATCCATGTAGGCCTTGGTTTAATTTATATTTCTGACCCATCTATATGTGTCTTGGGCCTACTAATGTCTGACTACTCCCCCTTGCATGAGGGCCTTGGATCGTAAGCTATAACTAACCCACCCATATCCGTCCACATGGGGTTTGGGTCATGATATCTGACCCATGTGGGTCTGACTTGTGTTGTCACCGGACCATGTGGGTCTGACTTGTCATCCATCCATGTGGGTGTGACTACTCACCCATCCACCTGGGCAGGGGGTTGTTCTCGGAGACGTGGTGGAACTCGTACATCCAGACGTGGCCACCGGCAGCGGCATGGGCGGCAGCCTGGTACACCATGCCTGAGTTGATGTAGTAGTCCGCAGTACCCTGTAAAAATGTAAAACACACGGCGTTTTACGAGCTTTCTTCTTAATTCTTCTTTCAATTTGAGGCAGCCGCCTTCAACTAGCTGAAGATTCTGCTGCCTTTTTGTGGCTAGTACGAGATGGGGCACTACGTGTTCGTCCGGGTGATTTGTAGTGAATCACCAACTTCCAGACAGTATTAGTTTGTACCATCGCACACCGGGACATGACCGGCCTACTCATGGCGTCCTACTCTTGGCGTCTAGCTTTCTCGGCGTCCATTGAAGTGAATGAGCCACAAGAAGAGTCTTAATTAACAGACTCCTTACCCTGATGATGTTATCCCTGATGGCTGCGGGGTCGTGCAATCTGTCGAAGTCCGTGTACTCGAAGTTGATGAGGTCGCTGATGGACGAGCGGGGCCCCTCGGGGTAGCGCGCGGCAAACTCCTTCCGGAAGGTCTCGGCCATGTCCGAACTCAAGCCGAACTCGATACCCTTGACGTCCTCTGCAAGAGGAGAGAGTCTTGGTTTAAAACAATTTTGCCATTGTGAATATGCATTTGTAGATATCAACCATGGCATTGGTTCAAGCAATATCTTGAATAAACTCTCCAAGCAGAGGTTCGGACGACGTTTTTTTTCTAAAGCCTTTCAAGTGTGCTTGACCACATTTGAAATTATACTGAAGCAGCGACACTTAGATACACTGCGAATGAGAAATGGCCATTGATGCCCAAAAGAAGGTGACAGACGGTCACCCAAACGTCGGGTTGAAAAAAAACTGTTGTTGAATAAAGAAGCTGCTTCTACAGAGTGCTTACTGAGTGAACTGGAAGACCATTTGTCCGTGGTGCCCACCATGATGGGAACCTTGATGAACTGGTTACTCTCCAGCATCTTCCTGGGAGAGGCGGCGATGACTCCGCCTGGACCGTCAATGGTGGGGGAGAAGGCGCCCAGAGCCATCATGGGGGGACCCTGGGGGATGAGATGGACTCTTAAACACCAACATGTATCACAAAACACACCTGTTCATACATTGTATCATAAAGAAGCCAGAACAAGCCTAGTTCCCCCAGAATCAAAATGGGTGGAGGACGGTCATCTGCATATGGCAGATGCTCCACACAGGGCTAAGGGCTTCGGTAACTAAGCAAGTCCGCTTTTGTTGTGATCTGTACTTCACCCAGTGTGTATTACCGGAATGTATGGTAAGCAATTTGTAATATGTGATGGTACATTGGCTTAGACATGCCCGAACCCGAGTCTTACCGTAACTTTCGTGGCCACCAGCTCATCTGCAGTCTTCTCCCGGAGACAGCTGACGATGTCCTTGGTGGACTGTGGACAGAACAATAAGAACAGTGAATAGCTGGCTATGGAACCTTCACTTGACTCAAGCTAGGTATCATCATGCTCTAAACCAATTTCTGGTAACTCTGGTTTTAGATCAACAAGACAGGGCGGGAATGACGAATTTCCTGTCAGGATGAGCATTCAAGAATTCAGCCCAAGTTTGAAATGGGAAAATATGTCACGCACAATGCACAATTATATATGAATGTAGGAGTTGTTCGGAACGCCCACCTCTGTAGAGCAGCCGAGCTTCTCAGCCAGCTCAGTGGCGATGTCCACAGCCTTGTAGGGGGGCAGCAGAACGGCGCTGGGAGACATCATGTTACCACTGCTCATGATGGCACCGTGGAACAGACCTGTACACGACAACAGCACGCGTCTACACTTCATCTATTCATCTGTGTATTCACTGCTAGCATAGGCGTGGTGGACAAGACCGATCATCTCCAAGCAGATCCCTTCAGTGGCAAGACAGTATCCATTGGCCAGGGGAGTGTCTAGTAGCTACTGTATTGAAGGCTAAAAGGACACTCCTTTGGCCAATGTATATTGTCATGCTACTGACTGAAGGAATCTGTTTAGAGATATAAAGACCTGTTCCCCAGGCTCAAAAACAGAAAGTCTTTTATGATGGTCATCTGCTTGAGGTCGGTTCCGTGCTGTACGTTTCCTTCAACGGAAGTTTTGTTGCTTATCTTCGCTGTAAGGAGTGGTGAGGTGCAGGGAGACCAGGTTAATGTCTCCTGCATGCGCTCGGGATCGACTCCAAGCCTGTACAGTTTGTTTTGGGGAAGTTTTGTTTCTTACCTTCGCTGTAAGGGGAGATGAGATGCAGGGAGACCAGGTTGGCAGCCGCCGCTGTGCCCATGATCGTCAACTGTTTGGGGTCGCCTCCGAACCTGGATATTTTCTATTACAGAAGTTTTGTTGCTTACCCTCGCTGTATTGAGATGAGGTGCAGAGAGACCAGGTTGGCGGCCGCCGCTGTGCCCATGATCGTCACGTGTTTGGGGTCGCCTCCGAACCTATATATTTTCTACTAGGGAAGTTTTGTTTCTTACCTTCACTGTAAGGGGAGATGAGATGCAGAGAGACCAGGTTGGCGGCCGCCGCTGTGCCCATGATCGTCACGTGTTTGGGGTCGCCTCCGAACCTATATATTTTCTACTAGGGAAGTTTTGTTGCTTACCTTCGCTGTAAGGAGAGATGAGGTGCAGGGAGACCAGGTTGGCGGCCGCCGCTGTGCCCATGATCGTCACGTGTTTGGGGTCGCCTCCGAACCTCTTGATGTTGTCCTGGATCCACTTCAGAGCCTCGATCTGGTCCAGCAGGCCGTAGTTGCCGAGAGCCTCGTCATCGTCCGTGCTCAGGAACCCTGGAGAAGAGTTGGAGAGTTCTCAGTTCGGCCCTTCCTATCTGTGACTATTCTTCAACGTTTGTCTTACAAACGGACTGGTTTTGTGTTGTTAGAAACATTTTCAAGTGTCAGTACAGCCCAAAATGTATTAGCCTCCACCAGGCTCCTTTCTAAGCTGAAAAGTCAAAAGTGGTCTAAAAAGGGCCAGGGGAGTTAGCCGACCATAGTGCAGACAAACTGGTCCTTCTTTCTATGGCCGGCTAACTCCCCTGGCAAATTATATAGCTCTTTTTAGGCCGATGTCGACTATTTTACATTCAGCCTGCAAATGAGACGAGCAGTATTTGTAACGCCTGCGGAAGGACGCTGCTGATATGAAGGTGCTTACCGAAGACTCCCATTCTGTAGTTGACCGTGACCACCACCACCTCCTCCTCGGCCAGGCCGGTGCCGTCGAACGCCCGGACCGTCCCCCAGTCGTACGCGCCGCCCGGGAACACCACGACCACCGGGTGCCGATGGCCTTTCTCGGGGTCCTGTCACATCAAACAGGTCCGTTCAATTAGTCAGTAAATCTATTCATTGATTTTGTCACTCACTCAAGACTTCGATGTCCTTACTGAAGTGTTTTAGATGTCTTCCTTAGAGCTTTCTGCGATACTGGCGCTAGGATGTATTGTTGCCAAGCAAATTGTTTTCTGAAGTCAAAAACCTTCAAGAAGCAGAGCAAGGCAAAGAAAGTCTTGCGTTGTGTCGTGTTATGTGAACGTTTTGTTTCGTCTTCACAAGAATACACATTGCATCAACTAAGGTTCAATTTCAAATATGTTGTAAGGTACGCCAATAAGCACAAATAGATGAAACAAACTTTGGATTGTGCTGGGTCACCATTTGAGTACACTTTTAACTATGTTAAAAATCATTTGGTCATCTGAACAGGAGAAAACTGGAGAGTTATATGATTGGCAGGTGGTGCCGGTGTTCTGGAGGTGTTGACACTTTTGTAACCTTGTTCTTATCGCCGCGCCGTCAATCAGAGCCCGGGGTAGAAAACGACCTTTGATCAGGGGCATGCGCGGAGCAGTTTGGTCTCAACGTCAACAATCGG